CTATTCATACAACCCTCATTCACTTCACAACGAGCACGGCATTGCTGCCGTGATTGTAGGGAGTATTCACTACACCTGTGTCCACAAGCGCTTCGACTTCACCACCCTGTACGTGCACAGGCAACAACCACACACGCGCTGCTCCCGCCCTTGCTGCAGCTATCCAATCAGGAATCTGGCTGCTTTCATAAGACGTTCCAGACCTCCCCCATAATTGAGAACAGCTGTCTGCTTCTCTATTTCCTTGGGCATGATTTGGATGCCACAGCTCTAATGCATGTAACTCCACCCTGCCTTCCCTTTCAGGGCACTGTTCTAAAGCGTGTAACCCCACTTTAGCTTCTATCTTAGGGCGCTTCAGCTGTCTGCACTTGGTGGATTGTACATCTTGCGTGTCTGCCTCCCTTGCAGATTGTGCGTGTTCTGTCTGTGCTTCTGCCTGTTCCTGCCTAGACCCCAGCTTAGTCCTATTGAATTCATTGCTAAATCTTTGGGTATCCGGGTCAATTTCAGCGCCCAGCCAATAGCCCCTGGATACCTTTCAAGTAGCTAACACTCAGCGCCTCACCCTTGGGCGCTTGTTACTGTTCCACGTCACAACTTCTCACCCTTACCGGCAGCCCCTTTAGTTCCGCACTGTGCCATCCCTCAAATGCCTGCACTTTCTCATCATCAGCGCCCTTCTGAGGGACAGCCAACCCGTTTTGGCTGTGGAGTGCCCCGTGTTGAATCAGACGCTCTCTCTACTGTCCCTCCTGCTGGGGCATCCGATCTCGTTTAATACGCATGCTATCTTTAGACTCAGCACTGTGTGGGGTGTTTTCGTCAGTGCAGCAAAGGCTTCCATGATTCACAAGCCTCTTAGCCCTCTGGTGCTCGCTTCTCCTTGGCCTAGGTCGGTTCACCTCTAACCACCTAGGCCCTGTCGCTTCCCTCGTGTGTGTCCGTTTGCTATCGCTTCACTTGTACGGATGTTTTTTTCTTAGTGTGAACGCCTGATGGGCACGACCTGGCCCAGCCGCCAAGTCCCCCACACCTGTAACATCGACTCCCGTCTCCCCTACACTCTAGCTTCTCATTTGGGCAGTCCCTTGCCCGATGCCCATACCCACTGCAAGAGCAGCATTGCACTTGTGCCCCCTTTTCTCTTTTCCTGGCCTGTTTAGTGTCCGTTTGCTAATGCGTACCCCTTAGTTTTCTGAGCCCCTTTAGTTGGTTTGCTGCATCGTTTGTTCTTACTTTCAACTCCTGACGTGCGTCTGCCTCTTGTCCTGTTTGCTATTCACTACCCAGGCTTCTCTGATCAGCTCGTCACGCCCCTTCACTTCTTGTCTGAACTTTTCAGTCGCATACTCGTACCAAGTCGCTGCTCGGTTTGCGACAAGGGCCCTCTCGGCTAGCGTCTGCTCCCGGATCTCCACCCAAGAGGCAAATTCATGTTTCAGCACCCTCTTTACCATGTCATAGGGGAATTGGCGG